GGCGGCGGCGACGGCGGCGGCGGCGACGGCGGCGGCGGTGGTGGTGGTGGTGGTGTAGCAACAGAAGTCGTAGTCGTCGCCGTCATCATAGTCATTGAGTCATACTAGTACAACCAGCGACAGGGCTGTAGTAGTTGTAAGCAGTAGATGCTCTCACAGGATGGGCATCATCTCTTCAACACCTTTCAGATCGTGCTTCCAAGTGTGCCCTGCCAAAGGCGAACCTTAGCACCAGTTACCTTGGCAGACGTCCTGCTACTGCTCCAGAAATTACTTTGACTTATCAAGATTTGTGCCACTTCTTCTTACTGTTTCCTAGGAGGGAAGTAGGGAACACACGATGTAGGGATCATATTTAATATAGGGGCTATATTCCCTTATTCCCTACCACGAACCAGTAAATCTTCTGGCACCTATCATGAGGCGCCAGCGCTGGCAAGTAGAACCTGGACAGGGCCCAGCTTCCCAGCGCCTGGGCCTCACAGCCTGAGGGTGGAAGTTGCTGCAACATACTGGCCTCTCTAAAAAAAAGTTGAGTCCCTACTACGGACATTGAAAAAGGATCCAGAATCTCCAGAAAGTGTACTCGACACAGACTTGGGAGCAAGTTTTCTCAAACTCAATACTTGCCGGTGTGTGACATTGTGGTTCCGTTGCGCTGGATCTATCTAAGAAGGATCTCATAGGGACGACAGGGTACACTTGAAGCATTACTTGTTCAGCCGTGCTTTGTGCCAGGCTGGCACCATCTGCGACTGCGTGGATCTTGGTTGTTCCGTGCTCTTACAGATGTTGGAAAGAATGCATCCCTTTCCCGTTCTATCATTTCTGGTTCAATGCTGGGGTTCAGTAAGGGGACCGCAGCTTGCTTGTTGGGTAAAGCTGATGCAAGATGAGCAAGTTTCAATCTTCAATCGAGCAGCCTTCAAAGGCAACACGCTTTTGATTTGTGATGTGTTAGAGTTGGATAGGCGAGACACGGCGAGTCGTTGTCATTCTGGTTTGTTGTGGCTTTGGTCGTGGTTGTCGCGGCCGATGTGTTTTGCAGCTGCTGCTGTTCTACTTACTGCGTGAAGCTTGCCACCGCGTGCCCTTGCAGGCACTGTATGCTGCTATGTAGCCTCCTATTCCCAACCCTCAGTCGCATGCGCGCTTGTCCACCCCTTCAGAAGGCAAGAAGAGATGCTCAGGAAAACAGGAAAAGCCATGATCCTGTTTTGGGCAGAGCGGTTTTGTGGGCTTGTGGAGTGGACTTGTCCGTCGTAAGGGGGCTGGAATGTCTACAGTCTACAGTGTGCTTGAGTATTGGGCGTATCTGTATCTGGTTGCGCGTAGTTCTTGTGGCTGCAGGTTTTGCCTTTTTTCGGCTGTAAGTGACAGCAGTCTCTTTGGGCCCATATTGTTGCAGGTCACACTTGTGTTTCTGCGTGTTGACTTGAGTTCTCATTCGCAAGAAAAGTGTGTGTGTGTGTGTGTGCTCGAACCTTGCTAGAGTTTACTTACCTTGTCTGACATTCTTAGTCCCTCGGCTTGTCAGACAAGCCAAGCGTATTCTCTGGCTCTGCTACTTTGCGGTTCAACATTGATACACAGGTTTTCTGTTTGCAGATTGAGACTGGTAGTGCTTGTGAGGGGTCATATAAACTCCTGTGAATTTTGTTCTTGATTTTGGCGCTCTCCAGGTTTGGTGGCACAACTCCTGGACGACGCCTCTTGAGCAGTGGCCTTGGGAGCAGACTAAGTTTATCTTGGTACTGATGGGACAGGACCAATTACAGGAACCTGACGAACAGCAAGTCAGCATCAGTCTCCCCTGAGAGTGCCCGTCAAGTGCTGGCTTCAAACGGAGATGAGCGGCGGCATAGACCCCTAAAAACAAAGTTTTATACAGAGGGTTCTCATATCGATGGTCGATGTTGCAAAAGCTGGTGCGTGTGTCAGTGCGCGTCAGTATTTTACAAGCACATTGTGCGCGATAGCTCGTGATCTCGGCCTGAAAATATGGGGGGCGAAGTGCGGCTTGCAATGTGCGCGCGTCAATAAATCCGTCGGTTTTCACTCACGTCTCATTGTCAACAGCTTGCGTCAGTGCAAAAGAACAGCAAGAGCTCGCGATGTGCTGGCGCTGGGACCGCATCAGTCCGTAAAAAGTATGGTTATGAGATAGTGATTGATATGCGAAGGGAAGGTTCAAAGAAGTGTTTGTAATTCTTGGGGGGTAGGCATTCTTAGGGGCTGAGGCTGCCGAATATCAGCCCTCAACCTTTTTCCATTCCCCCATGTACCCCTAGAGTACTAGTTGGAGATAACCCCAAATCATGTGAGCTTTTGTGAATAGCAGTCCTCAACAGCGGACATAGGGGTCCCTCTTGCAGCCTAGTATAGTTCCTAATCTAGTCCCTAACAAGGAACCCATGGGAAATATTGACCGTAGCTCACATAGTAGTTTCCATATTTGCTAGAAAGAGATGATCGCAGGTCGCAGCGCAGGCGGGCGCTTGGAGCTTTGCCAGCTGGACGATGGCTCCGGTAGGCAGCGTTGGCAGGTCTGGGCCTCAGTACAAAAAGTTTAGGGACCTTCTATTGGGACAGAAATGGATTCTTAGGATTATGCAGTGTTATTTAGGGATATGTACGTAGGGTTATATGGGGATATGTATGGATACATGGGGGTATATGTGGACGTAGAGGGTTCTGTACTGAAACCTAGGTTTATATCCCTTGACGGGACCCGAAACGTAGGGGATCAATCGGTTTCAATAAGTTGGCAGTCCTACTGACAAGCCTAGTAGGGGAGTTTTCAAAAGATCCCCTAGATCTGAGGTTAGAACTATGGGCCACAAGTATGGGCCGTTAATCCTGCGGTCATTGTATGTCATATGCCTTTTATGAACCCTACAAGCTCCTACCCACATATCCTACAGCTTCTTAAGGGGCCCGTATTTCGAGGAACTGCCAAAAGTATGACGGACCAAACGGGCATTCCAAATCTTCTACAAAAAGCTGCGAGCAATTTTTCTTGAGGAGCCACTCCCAACCTGTAGCGGGCAAATCAACAAACATGCGCAGCTACCACTGGTAAGAACGGTCATCTGAGCGACAATGGTAATGTCGGTAACAAAGACAGTACTGGTAGGTACTTCGAACCAAGGAGCCTTGACCATGAGAAGAACACAGCATGTGAGCAAGAAATGTGGAGTCGTGACAGGTTGTGAAAGCCTCCTCAACCTCCAGTCGCATTGCAGGCTCCTTAGATACCTGGTGCTCTTCGTGCGCTTGTCATCTTGTCTTGCAAAAGAGAAACACCTTTTTGGGTTACATGTGGGGGAACTGAATGCCACACTTTGTCAGGTGCTTCGCGCAGCCGTGGGCTGCGGAGATCCTGGCATTGGCACCTCCCTCAGCACGTGCAGAGCGGTCAAAGAAGATGCAACATCGGCTTCCCTGCATGCGCAGGTGCTGCTGCGCAGGTTGAGGCCCTCCACATTCCCTTCCGCTACCCTGCCATGGTTGGCCAGCATGTTCACGTTGCAGGCAGAGGCTGCTGGCTGTTGCCTTGCTGCGCCACAAGGAGTTGTGCGCCTCCAGGCAGGGTAAACTCCATTATTTGATTTGCGTAGAGTTCCGGTCGGATCATAAGGGATCGTAAAGAGAAATTCTGTGTATCCCATGAGAGCAATGAGTTGCGTGATAAAGGGCGCTTTGCAGGGAAGCTCATGGTGTCGCCAGGCGGTGGAGGCAGAGTGGGAGGCAAGCTGCTTCGCCAGCCGAGACACTTCCACTGAAGAAAGAGTTTGAATTTGCATTTTAAGAGTGCTGTGCAGGTCGGGTCAAAACTGTGACCTGCTTGACCAATTAGTGACAATGACAAAGGGTCAGCGAATCTGAAGGTTCCGAAGATGCTTGTTCAGCAAGATTCGGAACACCAACATGTTTCAAAGCCATTCAATAAGAAGACAAATAATAGAAAGACAAATACTGATTTTTGTCGGTAGAATGCGGCCTTCTCGTGGAATGAACCACAAGAAGCAGCATGGTATCTGACACGAAAGAATCAGAATCATCAGAACACTTTCAAAAGGAGCGTAAGAAGCCATATTTTTTTGCAAAGAGAGTAGCAGGAATGTCTCTGACACGAAAGAATCAGAATCATCAGAACACTTTCAAAAGGAGCGTAAGAAGCCAGATTGCTTTTGCAAAGACGGTAGCAGGAAGCGTGTGAGACCCAGCGGGCACCAAGAACTACACTCAGAACACCAACAACTGAGGTTTTCACTCTTCCTGCTACTGCGTCTTAACATCACAAGGGGATAGTAGCTGTGGCTCATGGCTAAAGCAGCACACGTCCTGACAGATTGTTGGTCCAGGCGGGGGCGGCGGGCTCAGAGAAGACAAAGTACAAAGCCTGGACAATTCATAGCCCCAGAAGCTTCCAAGGATTTCAAGACTACCTGGACAGCGAAGAAGCAGCGGCCAGCCAGGCATGTGGTCCCTGGCACGGGCTCTTCTCCTAGTCTTAGTCTTGCTAGTCGGACTTACTGTCACTTGCAATGTTGATTCCGATGGCGGGTATAAAGTTGACTTGCACCATGCTTTCCAAGATCCTGTGCCTTGTGTTTCTGCAGGCCAGCCGGCCAAAGGCGCGGCACGATAGCGCGAAGACGACAGATGATCATGACAACGAAATAGTACAATATTTCTTGTTCTGGTTGATGCAAGTGACATTTTTAATAACACCTTCAGTATGAGGATTCCCATTCCTACCAGTGTTACCTGCTGACTAGTAGGAGTACCACGTCTAGACTGGCATTCTGTAAGCAATCCAGCCGGTTTTGCAGGAGCCGGAGGCCAGGGCCAACGACGGCCTCATGGCGGGATGCCTGATTTGGGTGTTTCTTGAAATAGGGATACCATCAAAAACCCTAGACCATGTGTTCTCAAACGGATATTGCGGACCCCATCTCCACCCCGTCAGTTCAGGTCCCCTCACAATATTGATGTAGGAACATTCTAAGGAACATAAGTCAATGCTGGGGCGGAAAGGTGTTGTACTTCCTGAGGAAGGAGATAATTTTTAGCTTCTGCCTGAGAAGATTCAGGACATTGTGGAGCGCTCCACATCCTCCGTGGATTGGAAGAACATGAGCGAGGAACGTATCAGCAGATCCTGTGGTTCTGTTCACATCAGGTGCACATCTTGAGGTTTCTTGTAGGAGAGAATCCTACTACTTGCACGACTGTCCATGGGGGAACCTGCTGCTTCGCTGTTGTCTTGCAGTTTTGGCCCTTCTGATAAGGATCGTGCGTTTTACAGGATGATGCAAAGCTGCCACCACTTCTTCCCGTGATTGGAAACTTAAGCTACCTGACTCTTTTTGTAAGACAAGGCAATACAAAGCCATCTATCCCTCTCGACCGCTCCGCAGGACAGGATAAGCCGGATTCTTGGCCAGAACAGGAGAGCCCGAACATGCTGTAAGAATGGTTTGTTGTAGTTATTGCCCTTACATGTCATGCTGGTAGGAACCTGGGAACGGCCATCGACCTGGTGGGTGCTCTATCCCAAGCGATTGTCACCAGCAGCTTGCAAACCATGACGGGGATGCTTGACATCCCAGGCTTACCTCAAGAACTACGAAATAGACAAGGCCACGTCTTGAGTTCTGCATGTAAAGTCTAAATCATGTCCCCAAGGCATCAAAAGGGACTTCTAGATGATGTGATGATATGTGATGTTCATGTTTCCATATATGCTTAGCAGGTCTGCGGGGAAATGTCTTGCAGCCAGGCAGATCGGCTCTGCGCCCGGATTGCGCCGCTTTGTTCAGAGCGAGGGGGCGTCTGGCACTTCAAGCTGCTTCTGGGCGGCAGGAGCGAAAGCTCCCCTAAAGCGGTACATGGCCAGGTCGCAGACTGGTTGCGTTACCATTGTTTGAAAGACCACGTTCAGATCTTTATACCCAACCAGGACTGTAAATTTTGGAACGCAGAAGGCATGTTCAGCTTGAAGTGTTCATTCGCTTGCCATTGTTTGTAATTAGTTTGGTTCCAGTTCCCGTCACTAGGCTCAATTTCTACACCACGGTGAGGATGAAGCAGTCCAGATACCAGGACCGCGAAAACCTATTCTGCAGACTAAAGCTTGGTGTCTGGCCATGCCACCTTGCAGGAAGCTTTAGACATGTACAAAGAGTACGAGACCCTCATCAAGTTTTCACCAGATGAGGCAGGGATTGGCAGCTTGCGAACAAGGTCCAAGCAATCCAGACTGCCTTCCTTGAGGCTTGGGAGCTGTACGACACTGTCTACCGCCACGTGCCTAGTGCTTTTTGTCTCTTTGCTAACCGCAAGCGCTAGAGAGTTCTAGGCAACTTCGGTTGGATCTACACTAGCCTCCACGAGTACGACAAGGTGCCAGATGTGCCAGGAAGCGTGCCCAAGGAAATTTCGGATTGATATCTGGTCCAGGCGCTAGACTACTTCGAAAGATGTGTCAACATCAAGAAGAAGCACAAGGTCGGGAGCCGAGCTAATGCTTTGAATTCTTCTTCATGTCCAGGTTTAGGTCTCAGCCTGAGGTCCAGGCTCACTGGTTCGATCAGTGGGATTTGGGGAAGACCCATGCGCGGCTGTCCTTGCCAGCACCTGAGAAGCATTCCTGGGGATTTACCTTGATTTACCTTCCCCCCTGTAACCCCTCCTAAAAAGCCCCTTTGTCCCCCAGGCAAAGGGGTGCCCCGGAGAAGCTGGAGCTGGCGGGGAAACTAATCGAGGAGGCCCTGGCCATGCACCGCCTGGGGCTTCGAGGGCTTTCTGCATTGCGAGAGGTTGTTGTTGTTGTTGTTGTTGCTGTTGCTGTTGCTGTGGTCGTCATCGAGGGTGTCCGCTTCGTCGTGGTCGTCATCGTGGTCGTCGTTGTGGGCGTGGTGGTGGTGGTGGTGGTGGTGGTGGTGGTGGTGGTGGTGGTGGTGGAAGAAGCCAATGGTAGGCTTGTCTATCATGTGTACGGCTGTAAGTAGTACAGAGCTCAGCATAGCCAACCTGCTCAAATACATGGTTTGCCTTCCTAAGGTGAGGTGGAGCCGGTGGCCAAGTGAGATTGGCATGAAGTTAGACTTGCACCAGGTCGCAGTGATGGCAGTAGCACCAGAACGAGTAGCAAGGTACCCCATGGATTCCAGGGGATTCCAGGAATGTACGGGGATTATGGAGGCTTATGAAGGTTCCCTCCTCTTAAGGCTGATGTCAATGCTTTTCCAAGGCCCGACGATGTGATCATGCGCTGCAAGATGCTGAACTCAGCCCAGCAGCTCAGAAAAGCTTAGAAAAGCTCAGAAAGCTGGGAGGCCCCAACAGCACTGAAGCTGGCACCTCAAGGATGAGGATATGAGAGAACCCTAGTTTGGGGTTCCATGCATGTTGCATAAGCTTTGCTGGTCTGGCCTCCCTAGACTGTTCCGCAAATGTAAAGCAGTCTGCAACTGTGTCCGTGTTTCCTCCTCCTCTTCATCCTCTTCCTCCTCTTGCTACTCCAAAAATGTACTTGTATTTTTACCCCTGTCACTACAAAGACCATGTTAGCCGTTTTAGCTTTGCCGGCATTGCCATGCTTGTTATCGGGCGGTTTGGCACTTGAGGCGGGCGAGTGCTGGTCTGTGAGGGGCGACTTTTGCGCCGACAAGAAGGTGCGCAACTTGCACTGGCATTTTCTGAAACTATGGTTCCAATATAAATTTTCGCTCCACCATCCTGGACCTAGATTTGTGGGGTTTGAGGGGTTGAGGGGTTGAGGGATGGTTTGGGATTCTCCTTCAGCTGTGCGATGGTCGGAGGCCGCCGAGGGCTTCTGGGATCAAGCCATCGCGCTTCACGAGGAGTCCTACGAGCTCTACCTGAAGGCTCAACTATTTACAAACATCATGTTGGTTTAGGGTTTATTGAGTATTGAGGTAGCAAACATGATGTGCGACATATGTGTAGACATGCTTGCGGAGACTGCTGTAGTGAATTATGTGAGTTGAAGAGCAACATCAGACGTGTAGGTTTCAGGTCACGAGAGATGCTCTGATGGGACTGGGTGTGCCACAGCTTGCGTGGTGAGTATGAGTGTACGACCTGCTGCCATATTCTCGACGGCTTTGCAAATCTGGCTGCAGCCATGCTCAGGTTGAAGGGTTCAATCCCCCCACGGGCTTGGAGCTTTCGGATTTATATAGCTGCAAGGGTGTCATGCACATGTATTCGTGATAACCGCCAGAGATAGCGCAATGACAATGATCACATTCCCACCGAGAGTCACGGATGCAACATGGTCCAGAGGAGTGAGCTTATTGAGGTCTGAATTGTTTCAGCCAAAATTGCGAGGGCAGTTGAACTACTTGGGGATGTTGCATAATCAGAGCTCTCTGCTCCGGAATATCTTTTCACTTTGATGACCATGCGGCTTGCAATCAGATTTGGAAGAGCTCTGAGATGTCAAAACGAAAGGTTGCCATCTTGAAGCAGCTCCCTCTCTCTCTCTCTCTCTCCCCCTCGCTTGACCCATGCTGTAAACCTGGTAAACTATTTGGCACCAAGCACTAAACCTTGTTCCCACCCCACTGCTGCGGAGGTCCTGGGCCCGAAGAAGCCTCTGACGGGCTGGGCAATGGAAGATCTGGCGGGAGCTTACCAGAGGCATTCTGCTTTTTCAACAGAACTTGATAGAACAGGGAGACGCTGGAGCAAGCAGCAAACAGCCACGCTACAACTGGTATCATCCAACAGGGGATCGTCTAGGAATACAAGGATGTGGGGTTGTATAGACAGGAGACCGGGTAGGGAGTTTAAAGACTACGGCTGCATGACAGCAATTTAGAGGGGATTCTGCCAACTATGTTTCCTCTTTGAGGGTATTGTTTTTCCCGTGTATCAAAGGGGACCAAGTTCTGAAACATGTTCCTTCGAGCGCAGGAAGGGACTTAGTCCGCAAGATAATTTTGTTTACTGCAAAAACCAGTAGCATCTACTTGCTGGTTCTTAGCAGGGAATAACGGAATATACCCCTTGTATAAACTCTATCTCCCCCCCCACATGGCCCGCACGTCCTCCCCGTCTCCCAGTGCACATGAAGCCTGAGCTGGACGCGCGCCTCCTGTTAGGCAACTCATTTTCGTAATATGTAGTTAGCAGCTACCAGCAGTTCTTCAGAATGATGAGTGAAGTTTTCCACTTTCCGTCTCATTTTGCATGTGCTTCTTCATCTGATTCTCCATGATTCCGGTAATATCTCTATATGATTACTGAAGCGGGTTAGGACCTCCTCCATCAACCCGCGTTTTTTGACTGAAAAGCTCGGGGCCTGTCAGCGGCAAGTGGAAGGCCTGCGGCAGATGTCCTAAAGGCTGAAAGCCTCAAACCCATGGATGCCCTACGCACTCGGCCCACTCTTCATCCTCACCTGGCAAAACCCCCTGACGGTCTGAACCTCCAACCTTCTAAATTCCTGCACCGTCTAAACGTTTAACGCCAAGATCCCAAACCCTCAAGATGGGAGCTTCTTTTGCAAAACGCTGCTTAAATTCGATGCGCTCCATGCTTTCAGGCGGGGGCACCTGGACAAGGCGAAGCAGCTGCTCGTGTCCGCCCTGCGGGTTGAGTGCTCCAAGGACTCCCGTGCAAGTTGGGGCTTCAGGCCATGGGGGGGGTTGCCTAAAGACCGTCCCAAAATGACCCCAACAATGAAAGGGACCCACACCTTGTTGTCGGATCCCAAGTGTACGGACCTTTGGACTAGCATACCAGGTGAGTGCTGCCATTGGGGATCATGCTCTATGATGCAGAGATCATAGAGCGATTGTAGGGGAGTATGTTGAAGTCGGCATTCCTGCCTGTGGTACCAGAAGAGGTGCCTAGGATGTTCACAAAGCTATCACGAGCCATCATCCAGTTCATTGAACAAGGAATGCTTGGACCTACTTGCCTACTCAGTCCGATCTTTCACATACCATTGGATTGGGCAGTTCGAGGATATCATCAAGCTATCTTCCATGGCTCGGTTGTTGGACTCCGTGCTGGAAGTCCACCAGGCACTTCCTGACTGCTTTTGTTTGCCTTCTCTTTCAAAGCCTCGCAAGCCAAGCTTAGGCAACCATGGACGCCGCAGGGCTTGCAGACTGCCAGGCAGGGAGTGTTGCATCAGATGTTTAGGCCCAGCGGAACTGAACATAGTGAGGACGCCATCAATGAGGGCCTGGAGAATCTGCAGAAGCGACGCATCGACCTGTCTGAGGTGCGGTGCAGAAGTCGTCACCTTGCTCTGTGAACATGAAGGGAGAAGATCATTAATAAATTGCATGCCGGTGGCCCAGGCCGCGAGCTATGCGGCCCTCTTGCAGAAGATTGCGAACTTCCTGTCCGCAGCCCAGCACAGCCCAGTGTTGGATGCCATTTTGAACGCTTCAGTGAGTGGGCTCAGGCTAGAGCACGACGCAGCCAACTGTGACGGTGCCATCAGCTTGCTCCAGGAAGGCCCAAAGCCAAGATGGGCGTCTTGTTGAGCTTTCTTACGATTCCCCCAACTCAGGCCTGGGCTACCTGAGGACCTGCATTCATTATCATGTATTCTTGCTGCTCGTGCTTCTTTCTGACTCATTGAAGGTGGTGTTGCATTGACATGGATTGAGATCCGACCTTTGCGAAGCAGGGGGGTCAGGAGCTGCTCGTCGGCAAGCGAAGGCATGCAGGGCGCCCAGAGTGCGCCCATGAAGCCCTGAGAAGTTCCTCGAGTGGAGTCGATTCTTGGATGAGAGCTGCTGCTGCTGCTGCTGCTGCTGCTCGTAGTGAGTCTCATTAGAAGTCAGAGGTGTGCAGTGGCAGTAGCAGTGGGAGAAAGCGGACGAGGAGTAGAGCAGTTTTTGGAGGTTCCATCTCTATCGAGTGGGTCTAGACAAACACCCTTGCCATTCTGGTGTGTGCGCCATCATAGCCAGCGATTTCGTTCTAGATGTGTTTTCTGGAGGATTACGATTGTTTCTCATAGACACAGGACACAATGAGCCAAGTATGGCTTACTAGGATTGCCCTGTGGGCAGGCACAGCAAGCCGTCAAACCTGGGCCCAAGGCAGTCGGATCCGATTCCTCCAACAGATGAGGAGGAGTAGCCTTTGCTGCAAATGTAGATACCCTTGCACATATTATGACTCATTCTCTCGTGTGTGATTGTATTGCCACTGGTGCAGTTTCAGAACGATGCTTGGCATTGCTACGCGCCTTAGGATGTGCAGGTGCAGCGATTATTGCTAGACTCCTAGACTCCGCAGACATTGGATTTGATTTCGTTTCTAGTTCCCAATTGTGATGGGTGGCCCATACGACAGGTGCTCGTGTGACTAACCTGTTCTGGAACCTGGAAACTTATTGCGACCCTTCTGCATGAACACGGCACTTGGAGGAGCAACGACTGCACATGCCGAAGGTGTGGTGGGAAGTGTCAGCCTGCATTTGTTCCCAAAGTGCTCCGTGCCTCGAAGGCTGGCCAGCAAGAGATGCAGTCTGTCGATCCAGAAGCACTCAAGACAGCCATCGAGGAAGTGGTTGAATCCCGTTGCATGATTCGAAAGCCTCCTACGCACCCCTTCCAACAACTCTCCAAGGTTTTCTCAGGCATAAGGATGCGCAGTGAGCAGAAAGGAGCAACTGAGACGTCTTCGGAACTGGGCTTCGTGCAGACAGCACCACGTGCCTGTTCAAGCGCCTGCGCAGGAGATGGATTTCAGTTTGCATGGCTTGGTACCACGATGCAACCAGCCCCACTTCATGATTGCAGCACAGCCCCATCCAGCACAGGACATGTACTTTGAGGTTGCCTGGGCCTCAGTGAGTACTGGACGAGATATTCACGTAGCCTCCTTTCAGTGCCTTAGGTTGACGACGCCCCTTTGCCGAGGGAGTTCTCACTCGCGGATTGATTGAAAAGCGATCCATTGAATAGATGTTTAGCGTGTTTGCGGGAAGAGCACACATTTCTACGTAGCCAGCATTTGAGTTGGTGTTTCGCAGCACATTTTAGTGCTGGAATAGAAATGCAACTTTACCGCACAGTTCACTAACGAGCGAGAAGCTTCACGCAATGTCAGCCATTTCACTGTCAGCTCTGGTGTTCAATAGAGTGTTCAACATAAGCATGAGCCCAGTCACCTCCTAGCGTCGCCTCTTCTTGACTGAACATCTGACCTGGAAGAGCTGGCCATGCTTCGCTGATGGCTGCACCGCTACGTGCAGGGGTCTAACCGTCATGACTTGGGAATGGTCTCTGGTGGGGCACGATGCGTGCTGTCTCGCCAGGTTTGGCTTTGCCGCCAGCCCGCACGATGCGTTGCTGCAGTGCTCTGGTCTTAGACTAGGGTATAGGAATGCTGTGTCTGTCACGTGCTCCGTGTCGTGCGATCCAGAGAGACCTTCTCTGAGATCCGGAGACCCTGGGCGCCATCGATTCATGGTAGGCTGTGTGCTAAGAAGTGATTGGCTGGGATAGGGCCCTTCTCAATTCGCTGTTCAGGCACCTGCGATCTCCAAAACAAGAATGAAATACATCTAGTCGGCTACCTGGTGATCTGACGGTCCGCCTTCTGTTAGTCTCAGCATGTCTCAGCTAAAATTGCCGTGACTTGCTAAGGTCGAGTTTGCGGAGGAGACCGCAGAAGTGTCCTGCACAGCCCCCAGGAAGCTGTTTTCCAACCATCGCTGAAAAGCCAGAGCAAGAAGCTGAGAGTTTGACCAGACTTTCAGGCAAGCAGTCCTTCGCAACCGACGATGAGGTGGGACCAGCAGTTGCAAATTCAGTGCCAAGCCCACGCTGCAGAGGTGTGGATAATCAGCCCATCACCTTCAGATCCACAGACCGCACAGCTCTTACTTGATATTATGGCTATTGCTGCGACTCAGCGCCACTGCTTGGGCGGACTGCAGGTTCTCACATCGGGACTGTGCCACTCTGGGGGTAAGAGCAGCCGCTTCCCCGGGGCTTGCTGCAGCAACAGTTTCCTAGACATTTTTGTGCTATGGAGAGGTCCCAGCCTTCGACTGGTTCGTACTGGGGATGCTCAAGCTGCTTGGCAATTTGATTAGTTCCAGGCGCACCACACACTTACAAACAGTTTTCGCACTCAGATTCGTAATAGTTATACGTAGCAGCGCAGATGGAAGAGAAGTATTTGCCGAAGTGGCATTTATCCTTGCCCTTGATGAGTAAGTGGCGCCCCCCGCCCTCTCACGTCCCAAATTCACACCCCTAGGGGAGCCAGATTCCAGAAGGAAAAAACATATATGTATATATATATATGTATAATATACATGGAACATGAAATCAATTTAACGGAGCACGTTTTAGGTTTGATTCAGGTATAGGACCCCAGATCTAGGTTTCAAGTTTACGTGCTAGAGCCTAGAACTTATTTGGTGTTTGGGGATAAGTTTCTTTAAATCTAGGTTTTTTTGGCCCAAAAGTGCCTCTGCTGCCTTTGATCTTATCTTGGACTTGGCCCGAACGGGCGTTTTATTAATCAAGAGCACGGATCACTGTAGTGGTTACTGTAAGAAGACCAGTAATTCGCCATAATATGTGTCATTATCACTGTAACCCTGCTCCTGCATGGAGCTTCATGAACGCAATCCCATGAATTCATGAAAAAGGATGATCCTCTGGCCGAGTATGCAATCTTGAGAAGCTCCTTCATCATCGTGCGCAATAGTTGTAGTTCCATCAAGAGACGACTCAGCCACCGATGCTTGAAAAAACACAGTAGATCGCTATGCAGTCCCCGAGTGTTCCTGAATCAAGCAGGTCTCCCAGCAGCCGTTGGCCTTGAGTGATGATGACAACCCCTTGAGCGCAGCTGCGTGCTCAGATGCTGCAACATGCGTTGAGGGTTTTCCAAGGCCCCATGCTGGGGTCTTTCGTCTCTGTTTTGTTGCTACCTCCTCCACTTTCTCTCGGTGCGGCTAGTTTCCGGCAGTGAGGCCTCCGCGTCATTGTGGTTGTGGTTGTGGTTCTTGTCGTTGTTGTTGGCGGTGGTGCTGGTGGTGGTGGCGGCGGCAAGCAGCGGCGGCATTGGTGGCTAACTGGGAGCATTGGTGGCTAACTGGGAGAGGGTGTGTGGGGTTGGGCGGTGTGCGATGAGGATAGGCAACATTAGCACACTGTTGCACATCTGCGAAGAGGACACGAGTGGTGTCTCGTTGTAAAGAAGTTGTGGGCAACATGTCTTTTACCTGCACTTGAACATCAAGATTGATGCCGGCAGTGATCTTGTTACATTTCCAGGCATGCTGCCTCTATTATGGCAGACTCTCACCACCTCTGCCTTTTTTCTTTTAGCACGCTACTTCAAATGCCTCAGCGAGATGCTGCAGATATTCGCTCTGCAGCCTGGTCGCACTGAAGTGCAGCGAGCCCCATGTGGTGTGTCCAAGCGAGGCGTTTAGCAAGCCTGCGTATACGTTCTTGATCTTGCCTCGGCAGTCTCTGTAAGAGTCCTCTGCGAGACATCTTGCGCTCCAAGCATAAAACGCGGGTTTAGCGCCAGTTTTTAAGTTAAGAAATCCATCAAACTGAATTTTCGGCACGTCGACGGACAAAAGCTCCTGCTCGCAATGCCACCCACAGTCAACAGTTCAGTGCACTTTTGCATAAACTAAGCTTCCACATGCGGTTTTATAGATATCTTTTCGCGGAATGTAAAGATTGCCATCAACTTGTAGACAACCCTATAAACAGTGCAAAAGTGCTGCAGCCACCACATTGAAAGCCATCCTGCAGCAATTCCCCCTTACCCCCTCTACGGGAGCGCCTTAGGACTCCCAGAAGAGAATGTGCCAAACCGCTTTTCGGAGTCGATCTGTGTTTCAGTGCCCCTCTTTGGGAGATTCTTCGGCGATACCTCGGCCTACACTCAACAAGGTTCCTGTTCTTGCTATAGTTCCAAATGGGATCCCTTACATACACTTCAAATAATACAATCTTCCACGTGAAGGACACCTCTAAAGGAGGGTCCCTGACTTTCATCGACTTCCTTTGTTTGAAGAGGGTACCAAGGCCTCGCTCGAGAATGGATCAGTCAGAACACCCCATGCCCTCAAACCCTGAACAGCCCCAGACCTTAAGCCTTAAGTTGAAACAGTTTCGAACGCTAAACAACTCTAATCCCCAGATGGTGCCAAACCGAAATCCGAAACAGCCCCAAACCCCAAACCCTAAAAAAATGCGCAATTGGAAATCCAAAACAATCCCAGTCATCAAACGCTATACAACCCTAGACCCCAAGCAGCACCAAACCCAAACCAGTCTCCAAACCTCCACCCTGAACAGGCCCAAACTCAAAAGACGAAAACAACATAAGCAGCCCCAAACACCGAACACCTAGAAGCCTACAACATGACTAGCCTACACTCTAAACAATCCCAAGCCCTAAGCCCTAAACAGCCCCTGACCCGAGACCCTGAACAACCACAAGCCCCAATCTCCAAACAACCCCATTCTACGAAGCAATCCTTGACCCG